AGCTTCTGCCTTAGGGGCCCCCTGACCCTCCTCCGATAGAGGTATGCGAGTCTTCTGCGTGATCATCTGTAACTCATCACGAGCCGGCTTCGATGCCGCCAGGTACTCAAGAATAGAGCACTGCATGGGTTGCCGAAGGGCCCGCCTCAGTGGCTCGACCGTATCAATCTCGTCCAGCGAACTCTTCATTAAGAACTTCTTCACTCCCCGCTTTCGCTTTCGCGGCGAAAGGATAACCTCCTCTCCATCGACCCGCTGCTCGTCCTTCTCCGCCATCACGTAATCCGTGTCAGTCTTCTTCGATGTAGAGCCTCTTGCCGACTTGGTGGCTGCCACCCTTATGGGTGTGGTCGCCATATCCCCCTCAAAGGTTATCTTGATGCTCTGGCTCCTGATGGGCTCCTTTTCTTTACTCGGCTTTACTCTCCTTGCTTCGACATTCTCCTTCATCGAAGGGAACATCGATACATCTCCCAGACCATCTGCCCACTGGACGTACTTGCGGTCGTCAAGCACAACAAGTCCCTCATCTATTGCCCGTTTGAGGTCCAGGCAATCCCTCTTAATATGATCTTCTCCTTTACAGTAGACGCATGAGTTCCTGGGAGTAGATGGCCTGTCGTCTGCGCTTCTAGAGATCGAACTCCTGGCTGCCTTGGGGTCAGGTGACTTGGGATATGGTTATGATGAGACGCCATATCCCCTTCTCTCATTCCGACCGCGCGAATCGTTGCGGCGGTCTCCTCCAGACCCTCCTTGCTCATACCGCCCTTGCGAATCATTCCGGCGGTCCCCCGAGTCATATCGCCCTCGTGACTCATCGCGTCGGTCCCCTCAGTTGTACCACCCCCGCGACTCGTCGCGCTGCTCTCTCGCATCTCCCCCGCGCTCAAACCGTCCGCGCGACCCATCTCGTCGTTCCCAGTCCCGATCTCCTCTTTCATACCTACCACCTCTCTAGCCATCTCGACCCGACCTCTCGTATCTGTCGTCCCTATATCCGTCTCGGTCCGATCTCTCGTATCTGTTGTCCCTATATCCATCTCGTCGGTTCTGATCTGTCTCCCATCGTCCGCGGTAGTTGCCTCTACCCCGATCGGCCTCATAGCGAGGGCTTCGCGGGTAATCATCCAGCCTCCTTACTCGCGCAAACGGCTCGCGATCTCTGCGGTCTCGGTCTATCTCATCRTCCCTACGTCGCCATGGCTCATCGTCTCTCTCCCTTCCCCTCGTACGATAATCAGTCAGCGTCTGAGGATTTCTATCCTCGACACTCCTCCAGGAATCGTTGTTCCTACGGTCCCARCGAAGTGAATAGGGCCCTCCAGGTTTGTCCCGATAGGCCGTGGCCCCTGTAGTGGTCACAATCTCTGTAACCAGTCCCGTCAATCCCTTCACCATGTCCCGTATCTCCTTCACTTCCTCAGCCACGGCCTCATTCTTCTCCGACCAGGGATAGTCCTTGAAATCATGACATCTATCAGTAGCATACTCCTTGTAAAGAGAGAAGTCACGTCTCCTCATCCCTCTCCATACCAAGTCCTTGTAATCGTCTGCCTCTGATTTTATCGCGAGCTTTAGGACTTCTGGGAAATCAAGCCTGTCGCGCGGAAGATCTCTAAGTATACTCTTTTGTCTACCTTTGGACAAGTGTCCGATGAAGATAGTACAACGCTCGACCTCTGAGATCTTCCCCTTCTTCATCAGCACGTCAGAGATCTTCTGGAAACACCCTCACACTATACGATTCGGACTCTCGTGAGAGAACATAAGCTAACCAGGCCACTGAATCACTCCTCATCTCTTCTCCTACTCTCGATCAGCATCACTCTACTCCCTCTGATGCACCCCATCTCTCGACGTTGCTCACCCTTCAGACAACTCTCGCACTCAGGTCCAGTATGGTCGAGTAGGATCAGTAGCTAAGCTCACTCAACCGTCGCCCTAATGTGCTCCTCTACCTCCTACGCCCAGACTGCTACTCCTATCCTGGGAAAATGGGCGTCTGTAACGTCAATCTCCTCCTCGTCAACCTCACTCTCTGGGTCGACCCAKWCTGGCTCCCMGGCGTCCTCGTCGTCCTCTCGCTCCCAACCCTCRTCGTCAAACTCGTCCTCGACGCGGTATGGYGCCTGTCCTATACCYTGGTAGTATTCCGCCAACTGATGRCCGTATATCAGAGGTCGCCCRGCGTCCTCACCCCACCAGCTCTCCCAGTCGTCTGAGAAGAGCCACCCGATGCAGGTCACGTACTCGGGGCCTGCTCGGAGCTCACGGTCTAGCCAATCCCAAACGCACGGAGACTGGGGYCWCTCGTCGTCTATYGAGCGGATCAGCTCTATAAGCTGAACCCTCTCRTCTCCCCAACGAGGCCCACCGGTTGCGAGCGAATAATAGATGTAGTCTAGGTCGGCAGGCCTTCTCGCCAGGATCTTGAGATCCTGATAGGCCAGGTATATCTCGACCACTTCACCAATACCTCCAAAGACGCTCTCTACTACGAACGTCGGAACTATCGCCCGCAGGCTCCTAACGCTGTACGGGAAAAACCCGCCCCGTGCTACCACCAGCTTGCCCGTGATATCAAGAGGAGGGCGTCCGTGAAAAAGGGTCAACGGGTCGCTCGAGTCCTCCGCTCGGAAGGCAGCTACCTCTTCCCCTAGGTAGCGTAACGCCCTGCTAATTGTGCCACTAGTCCCTGTCGTCGCGAGGCCCACCACGGCCTCCCTGACCGCACCCGGTCCCAAATACAAGTAGGCTCTCACTATGCCCACTCCTTGCCCCGGTCGGTGCTCTCTGTACGTCCAAAGCCACATGTCCTCGGACAAGATTATGGACCTCCACGCAAACTGGTCGTCAACGTGTCGAATGTTGCGACCGGGGATCGTGAGCTCTACCAGATCCCCCTCTATGAGTTCAGGGGGCTCCAAGTCCCAGTCAATGGTAGCCCCATAGACCTCTACTTGCACCCGCGGCCACATTCAACTAGCGGCTAGAGAGAACGCAGCAAGAGGGAGGTGTAGATTAATAACTGAAAATTCTCGTCGCTTGCCTCACGCCTTCKGGAACAAGCTAGTAGGTTCACCCGAAACCAGGTTACCGCAGCGTCTCTTTCCCTTCTTCTTCTAGGGAATTCTTTTGTATTTTTTAATTATAAATTAAAGAAAATGTATTTAGTTAAGATAAAATTTCTTTCTTATTTTATATATATTAAGGATCAATACATATATACGCCCGCCGAGTTTGATGATTTTTAGGGGTAGAAATAAAATTTGGGGAATTTACTAAAATTTCGGCAGCGTTTCGCCTCCCCCCGTTGGGATGGGGTTCGGGCGAAGCCCTCAAACAGTGCTGCCGAAGAGGGAATATCAAAAGGAATAATGGAAAAAAAAGAAAAATTGATTTAACTCGATTTATAAATATTTTTGTTAATTAATTAGCAAAAAATTAAATTAAAAGGGAAATTTCGAGAAATTTTGACAGCAGTTTTCCTTCCCCCCCGGTGAGATGAGGTTCGGAAAAAAGTCCCTCAAATAGGTAAAGWAGATATGAAGAGCATTGAAGTCAAACAAATGCCCCTACGCAATTTTTAATATTTATTTCAATTTTTTTATCGATTTTAAATAACAAATCAAAAGTAAAATAATTCTTAATTATTTAATGGGACAAAACTTTCCGAATTAATTTCCACAATCTTACGGGATATATTTGATAAAAAATAATCCGTAACAAATGCGGAAGCTAGAAGCTATGGTTTCCCTCTATCTACCCGCTTCTCTCAAAATTGGGGTTAGGACTTCACCCTAATTAGGGTTTACGGTTTTGCGCGCAACCGCACGAACACCGCAAAGCCCTGCTCGACACGAGAAAATTTTTGTTAGCTTTCACTAGTCTTAGAAGAAAAACTTATTGGATTACATTTTTAAATTTCTTTTTCTTTTAATTTCAACAAAATTACAAAGAAATTCAATTTCCCGTTGATTTTCTTCCACGTTTTCAATCTGTTGGAGCTCGCCGTTTGTCCAAACGAAGTCCGTTTTCCCCGACTAGGGTCTCAAAATGTCGGGAAAAATACAGGGACCAACTTTGGTCCCAACGGGGTTCCCCTAATTTCGTTTATTTTCCCGACCATTTCAATAAAACGAGAATCAAAATTTTTGGAATTTTTAATCAAAAAATATTAAAAAATTCATATCTCGCGTTTTAGCCGTTCGAATTTCTCAAAAAATGTCTCAAAACGTTCGCCTCGACGAGAGGACGAACTTTTCTCTCAGTGTGCCTCGCACGAAAGCGCGCGGATCAGGATATATCGAGGAAAAACCAATTAGAATTTTTAACTCGTGATTTTTAGGATTTTTAATTAGAAAAATACAAAAAATTCCATATCTTTTTTTTTAGTCGTTAGAACTTTTCAAAAAATGTCTCAAAACGTTCGCCTCGACGAGAGGGCGAACTTTGCTCCCCGCGCGGCTCGCACGAAAGCGCGCAGATCGGGAGACATTTCAAAAAAAAAAAAAAAAATGATTATAAAAAATAAAACTAATCAAGAAAACAAGCTAATTAGTGTTTGACTAATCAGCCCGTGCACCCCCGTTGGTTGAGGAAGGCCGTGGCCTTGGGGGTGCTGCTCCCCTCCCCGGCAACGGCGCCAAAGTTGTGAGGAAACCCGGGGAGGGGTGCCTACCGTTCGCTGAAGCCAAGGGATACGGCGCCTGTCACTCGCCGCGCCCGCTTCCGAGGTCTTCAGCGACCAGCAGGGATCGAAGTTGCGGGGGGGGTCCTGCCACGCACCCTATTTTCTTTTTCTTTCTTTTTGTAATTTAGCTGCTTCTTTCAGCAAGGAGATCCAACAGTCAACGGTTATCGTTCAACAGTACGTTTCAGCAACCAATTGATAATTCTGCCAATTCACGTAATTGGGATAATTCAGCCACTCCACGCAATGGTGAGTTTCAGCAGTCAATTGGTAATAGCAATTAGGCCACCACACCAAGTTTCACAATCGACTTTGGATGTGCCACCCCACTTTCTCTTTCTCTCTCCTTCGCAGTGTTCTTTCTCCCTCACTCACACTGTTCTCTCTCTCTCACTCTCGCTGTTCCCTCTCTCTCACTCTCACTGTCCTCTCTCTCTCTCACTCGCTGTTCTCTCTCTCTCACTCTCGTTGTACTCTCTCTCTCACTCTCACTGTTTCCTCTCTCCCTCACTCTCGCTGTTCTCTCTCTCTCACTCTCGTTGTACTCTCTCTCTCACTGTCGCCGTTCTCTCTCTCTC